CCTGCGCGCCGGTCCCGCGGTCGCGCCTTGTGTGCAAGGACTGCGAGATCGTCTTCAAAGAAGCAGATACCGCCGGCGCGGAGCTCGTCGTCGTCGTCACGGACGAGTCGGCGGGCATCGCCGCGTCGCCGCCGGGCTTCGCGTCCCTCACGGCGCGGGGCGTCGAGCTCGGCGGGCGGCGCTGGGCCGGGAGCGTCCGCGAGCTCGGCGCGCTCATCTGCGCGTTCCCCTTCGAGCCGAAGGACGCGCACACCGCGCGCGTCTACGTCGCCTGCGAACCGTGCAGCCTCGACCGCGACGCCGTGGTGGCCGCCTTCGACGCTGCGCGGAAGATCGACGGCGTCTACGAGCGCGTCCGGCCGACGATCCCCGTCGCCGAGGCCGCGGCGTTCGCGCGGCGGATGCGGCGGACGCACCTCGTGCACCTCGAGCTCCAGGGCGGGCGCCTCGCCGCGGACCAGGACGAGGACTGCAGCCTGCGGCTCGAGGTCCAGGTGCGGGGTATGCCCGGGAACCTCGTCGTGCAGGACGTCATCTCGCGCCTCGACGTCGACAACGTGCTCCGGCGAATGACCATCTCGGAGTTCGTCGCCATGTACGTCAGCAAGAACGAGACGCGCGTCACGCGCCTGGTCGTGGCCGCGACGCCGCTGCGCAAGTCCTTCGCGCGGCGGCTCATCGACCTCGTGACGGACACGGCGACGACCGCGGAGGGCATCGTCGACGCCGCGCCCGCGGAGTGGGACGTGGCTTCGGACGTGCTCTGCCCCGGGCCGCTGCGCCTCGGCCAGCGCGGGCCGCGCATGATCCGCCTCAAGGTGATCTGCGAGGACGCCGCCGTCGGCGACGGCCGCTTCCCGCCGCTGCTGAGGGGGCCCGACGGGGAGCACGACGGCTTCGAGAGCCTCGGCGACGAGCCGCCCATCGTCGTCTTCGTCACCGACGAGAAGACGGGCGACGTGCTCCTCGCGCGGAGCATCGCGGGGACCGAGGCCTGTCTCTGGTTCACGCTCCACGACGTCTGGACGCGGGTCCGGGGCGAGCTCCTGCTGGACAACCCCTACATGGAGTCGTCCAAAGGCGCCGTCCCGACGGCCTTCTACTCGACGAACGAGCGGATCTGCGCCCTCGACTGGAAGGCCCTGGAACGCACCGCCGGCACCGACCTCCTCGGCGCACCGCTGGTCCCGCATCGCGGCGGACGATCGGTCCTCGAGCGCGTCGACGAACCCGACGACGTCAAGCTCGGCGACCTCTTTCCCCACGACCCGGCGCCCGGGCGCCGCGCGAGCCGGGGCATCCTCGGCGTCTCGCTCCGCGGCATCGAGTGGGCCCAGGTGGACCTGGTCCTGCGCGTCGGCAACGGCTCGGGCGACCTCTTCCGGGACGACCTCCTCGCGACGTTCCCCGTGCCCGACGTCATCAACGAGCCGAGCCTCCAGGACATCATCGTCTTCATCTTCGAGCACCGCACGGTCGGCGGCCGCCTCGGCCGCGAGTTCCGGAGCGTGCTCCAGATGCCGGAGACGCGCGTGACCCTTGATGGCGTCGAGCTCGCGCCGGGCGCGCTCCAGTCGCCCCTGGACCGGAGCCTGGTGCAGCCGCTGGCCCTGCACACGCCGGAGGGCGAGCCCATCGTCATCAGCGTGCTCTCCGACGAGTTCGGCGAGCGCTTCCGGCGGGACCTGGCGCCCGCGGACGACCTCGGCACGTTCCTCGTGCTCGCCAAGGACGCGCGCGGCCCGCTCTGGGACGTCCTCCGGTGCCCCGCGGCCGACAACCACGCCTCCGTCAAGGACGCCGTCGAGGACGTGTTGGAGATGCCCGGCGCGCTCGATGCGGAGGGCGCGTCCGTCTCCTTCTGCCAGGGCCGGCCCGAGCACGCGGAGGATTACCACACGCACTTTGCGCACCTCGTCGACGGCCAGTTCGTCGGCGAGACGCAACTCATCGAGGACCCCGCGAGCGTGTCCGTCGCCTTCCTCACGCAGCGCAGCGAGCTGGCGCGCATCGGCGATCCGCCCTTCGCGTGCGTCGTCGCCGACTTCCCCGGCTCGACGCTCCGCGCGGGGACGCGCCTCGACGTCGCGATCTTGCACGGCGACGACAAAAAGGACCTGCTCAAGTTCGACGTCGTCGTGCGCATGAAGCTCCCCCAGGTCATCGCGCAATGGGTCGGACAGGGCATCGAGCCGACGATCCACCGGCTCCACGCGGGCGGCGAGATCTCCGAGAAGATCTACGACCATCTGTGCGACGACGTCGTCTGCGAGGTCGAAGAGGCGCGGTCCATCCGCATCGCCGTCGACGGCGGGCCGGAGCGCGATATCGACTATGACGACCACCTCGGCGCGCTCCTGGGTCCGTCGCCGCCCGAGCGCGTCGCCGTGACGGTCTGGCTCGACGACCGGCGCAAGAAGGTCCCGCGGACGCAGTGGACCAAGCTCCAGCACGGCTGCTGGGCGACCATGGCCAAGGAGCGGGTCATGCGCGGCGAGTTCATCTACGAGCTCGACTGCTGGAAGCGGCTCACGGTGTCGGGCACGGCCCTCGCGAGCGTCTACTGCGTCGGCGAGAGCGCGTTCCTCGAGGTCGGCGTCGCGCTCGGCCTCTTCCCCTGGCCCGCGCGTGGCGACG